CCTCTCTCCTCCAGCCCTAGTCACCCCTCAGGCCGTGGCCTTTGGCCTCTTCCCGTGTAAGCACAGTGACCCTGGGATGACTGTGGATTTGGTAAGGCAAATGTTTACTCTGGAGCTGAGACATTACAGGCTGGGGGTGTAAACATCCACCACTGGCTCCTGATACCTAGCATCTCCTTGTTGTGAACATAGGACAGACCCAATAAACTGGAAAACTTTTGAGGTCTCTCTTCATCACGGTGAGCTCTTCATTTTATGTAGGGATTTATAGAGAACTTTCCACTTACGTCTCTTCATTCAATCCTTACGGCCTCTGTGAGGAAGAGCAGGCAAGCACCCCATTGCACTCAGTGGAATCTGAGCCAAAGGTAGGTATTTGCCCAGAACATGCTGAGAAAAGCATGGGGTACACAGACTAAGGAAATCTGAGTTCTGGTCCCTGAATGGTGAATAAATACCAGGCTTAAATCACCTTAGTAGGTAGGGCTCTAGGCCTTGTTGCCTTCATGTGTTAAGTGAGTAGTCTAATCTGAAGTGCCTTCTAGTTCTAGCAACTCATCAATCTTTGATGCAGTGTAGATGAGCCAAGACAGAACTCAAGCCCAAACCTGTGCTGCTGGACTCCCATATCAGTGCGCTTCCAACTCTCCCTGCTAGGTCCTGTCTGTGAGAGGGCAGTATAAAAGCTCCCTACTCAGCTCTTAGGCCACTCCCTCTGCTGCTAGCCAGATTCACTCATCCTGCCTGCTGGACCCACCCCCAGCAAAAGATACCTAAGGAGCCACCGAGCTGCCATCTTCTGGGAAGGGAGTATGGGTGGGTGGCAGTTGGTGGGAATAGAGCAGTAAGTGAAGAAGAGGGAGCCCCGGGATCACAAGGAAGGGGTGTCTAACTAAATGCAAGAGGTAGGCTTCCTTTTCTTTTGATTCTTACTCCCTAGCTTTCCTGCTGGGGTGAAGTCACTAAGGATCCTTGCTTCCAGCCTGCCAAAGGAGGGGCTGGAAAAGCATTTTCTGTCCAGAAGGTGAGGCAGGCTATGTGCTCAGAAGGGAGTCCTCTTGGGCTGTCATTACTCTCCCTGCTTATTATTTCTTGGGCAAGGTTGGTGTGACTGGTTACATGCAGAGGCACGGCTGGGAAGACTCTGGGAAGCCCCAGTCCGGGATCCCTGTAGGGTAATGCAAGTCTGAGTCGTTTCCTGAGGGGCCTCAGGGCAGAGGACAGGCCCCAGCAGCAGCCAACAGCAGCTCAGCTAGCGACCTCAAGGCTGCCACTCTCACAGCCGTCCCTAACACCGCCCTCCGCCAGGCCACACCTCCGCAGCCTCCCACCATTACATTTCCTTGCAGTTCTTCCTTTTGTTTTCAAAAGCCACGACGAAGAGTAAAAGTAGCCACCTAAAAGCGTCCTGAAATTTTAAGTGTGCGTGTCCTACCCTGGGTAAGGATGAGAAAATTAACCAAAACGACTCCAGGAGTGGGCAAGGTCAAGGTAGACAGTGGCGGTTCCCTACTCCCCCTTTCTGGCACCCACCTTATTCCCTCCAGATCCTGAGCAGAGATATCCAAGAGCGAGCACCGAGTGGCAGCAACTCAGATTGGACTACTGGCGCCCCTGGAGCGCCCTGGACCAGATGCTCGGGTCCTTCCCCAGGCGAGGCCACCACGCCCCGGCCCACGAGCGGAGGCAAGGACCAGCCTCGGGTGACCGCGCGCTCATAGGGGCGGGGGGCGCAGCCTCGCGGGCTTCCCGAGTTTCAAACTCAACCTTTGAAGCCATCCGGAGCCTTCGCTCCTTTTGTTCCCAGGGTGGGCGTTAAAGGACAAAAATGCCTCCTTGCACCACCGGCCCGCGCTCCAGCTCTCGCCAGGGAGGCTCGCCCAGCCGGGAGCGACCCCAGCCCCGGGCCTTCCCCCGCCACCCCCAGCGCTCGCCCGCTGTGCTCACCCGGCACGGGGCTGGGGCGGAGTCCAGGGAGGACAGGGGCCTCGGAGTGACTCCGGGCACGGCCACCTCGCCGGCTGTGCGAGCCGAGGGAGAGGGGAGACGCGAAGGGCACTCACCAGCACTTGCCACGCCGCGGGCCGCCGCGCACGGCGCGCAAAGCTGCACAGTTGCCGCCGCGACGCGGGCGCCGGGTTTGAAAGTCGCTCTCGGAGGGGACTGAGCCAGCCGGCTGCTCCCGCCCACTGCCAGCGCCGGGCGGCGGAGGACGCGGCCAGCTGCGAGCGCGGTCCCGGGGACCCCAGCCAGCGCCCGGCTTCCCAGCGCGGGGCAGGAAGTCGGGCCGAGCGGAGCGGGAGCAGCCGCAGGAGGGAGGGCAGAGGGAGGGGCAGGAATTTTTCCAGTGGGTGGAGACT